GCCGCAAGGGCGTCGAGACTGGGTCCCTTTCCGGCCCCAGAAGTTCCTCAAGGGGGCCCTTGCCAAGCCCGTTAAAGGGGCCCTTGCTTCTAGATGCCATACATGAAGTTGTGCAGCGTTCCCGCGCAAGACAGACCAAAACAGACAAAGTGCCCTCCCACCGACCAACAAACCTAGCTGGAAGACATGTTTCCGCTAAGAGGGACCCTGGTAAATTCCACGCTAGTCAGCAGCTAGGCGATCAGAGTTTGGAAAGGGAGGGCACCCCGCGAGCGTATTTACGTGAGGCCCGGGCGTCCTGCATTCCTTGGCTTGACAGATCCGACCGGGGCCACAAGTGAGGTTTGGTGGGGCGATTGAAGGGCTACCCCCCGACTCCCTCAGCTGTAATTCACAGCCAAGAAGGGCTGATGTGCATGTCTTGGTGCAAACAAATCAAAATGTCGGACAAGTGAATAACTACATATCATGCAAGCAGGTAGCCACATGAAAAACATATCATAATATCTATGTATGATTAGAGGCCGAGGGTGAGGAGGAGAACATTTAAGGGGAGAAAACCGAGCACTCGCAACCAGTTGCAACGTCTTTTTCGGTTCGACCCCGCCTGGCAAACCCTGATCCAGCGCGTCCCCGAGTCGTAGCCCAGGATGTACACGCTGTCGCCTGCGCAAAATGTGTTTGTTTTGCCTCTGCCCGCCTCACCTCAAGTGCCCAGTGGCCATGGGAAAAAAGGGCATCATTTCTTGGTTGGTTGAGTTTAAAGGGGAACCCGTCCCAAAAAAGGCCAAGTGGGCGGAATCCACTGGGCAACTGGGCCTCTGGCTCACTTCCTTCCGATCTATGGGACTCTCTGGTGGCTTCCATGTTGATCCAAATGCTTTGTAGCTGCGGGCAGAAAGGGTCCTCTACAGAGTCTGAAGAAAGACACGTCAACTCTAAACAGCGTGGGCCAATACAAAGCAATACAAAGCAATAAGCCAACCAGGGTTTCGGAAACGACCGCTTGGCTTAAATCCGTTGGTCGGAAATGGGCGTCGGGCCTGGGAAGGGATGGACTGGGGCGAGCCCATTGCAAAGAGGACCAAGCCTGCCCGGGCAGGCCATACTCTGAGCCCCCACTCAAACACTTCCCCTAATGAATTCGCCTTTGATTGTTTGAATCTGGAGGGCCTCTTTCAATCACTTGTGGTCATGACCCCGTGTACCTCGTGCATGGTCCACAATACGGGTCAGAACGCAGCCCCCCCCCCCGCTTTCTTTTTTCAGGCTCTGAGCGTTGCTTTCCAAACAGATTTCGACACCGGTCCACGGATCACTTTTCAGGGAAAGCTGCCCCAAATCGTCCATCGAGCCTGAGACTACTTTCCTCTTGGAAAGGGCCTTTTTGCACTTCCATGTTAGTTGGCGGGAGGGTACTTGCATTGGGGTTCGGCATTCCTTCGACGGAACCGGCACCTGCAAAGGCCGCGTCGTAGGCGGTGAAGCTGACGGTGAGCGGAGAGAAATCCACCACCGTGGTACTGGCGCAGTGATACATCCCGGGCTTGTGAAAGCTGGGCCTCTTTCCATCCTCTTTCCTTCCATTTGGTTAAGGCCCACGGAAAAGATAAACATATTTCCAGTAGTGATAGATTCCCTTTAAACCCAGCAAGGGAAAATAAAAATATTCTTAGGAAAATGGAGGTTTCTGCGATACAACATGGGGTTCCCATGCCCAACGCTTCTTCATGGCTGTTCGCCCTGATTTGGGGCAGGAAATTCGGAGTGCTGCGTTTTGTCCCCAAAACCCATGTAAAATGTCGGTTGGTCACACGTGGCTTGTCAAACAAATTGGGCCCTTTCATTTTAAGTTTCAGTGTCCGGGAAGCGCCCTTGTACAACTCATACGCATGCGGGCTGGCAACTTCAGGGTTTGGCAATGAACAAAGCTGATTTTTGTTTTCTAGAGGAGGAACGGAATCTGCACCTCACTTGCGAGTCTAGATTTTGAAAGGCACGGGAGAGAGTTGGCCCATCATTCTTTGCATCCTGGGAAACCCCTTATGCTTCCTGTGGACGGGATTGAGTTTCAGTTAGCAAGAATCGCTGTTGAACCAACCCACCAACTATGAACGAACCTCACCAAAGACAACATCCACGCTACGAAGTAAACAAATGGGTAAGTCCTTAAATGGGAACTGGAAGTTCACGTTACCAACAGCTGGCACCCCTGCAAAAGTTCTGTGACCAGCGCCATTCACGCTGTCATGAGCAGCGAAGCGGCCTCGTGCGTCAGCGTCGAACCCTGATTTTGCGGATACTTCTGGTAGGTTTACTTGGCAACTGCCGGACAATATCAATTCACCATGATTCATTCCTTCTCTCTATTTCATTCTATTTCTACCTCTCTCTCTCTCTCCCCGTCTCCCCCCCCCCCCCCTGAGCGCGCAACGGAAACTAGCGTTGGCTGGTGACGCAGGAACACTACCAACAGAAGCCAATGAAATCAACGGCAAGAAGGTCACACAAGCTTAACTCAAGGCAATTTTTCGGCGGAATAGTGATTGAGTTGGTCCTGTTGGGCTCTAGGCGTTCTCACCTATCGGCAAATTGCTTTTTGGTTACCTGGGGATCGACACAAACGATGCGTCAGCAAATCTACAGCTTTTGCCCCCAACCCAAAGTGATCTTCTTGATTGTGGTCCATATCTGGTAAGCCTGAACATGTGAAGTGATGTCGAGAGAGATCCCATGGGTTTCCATCCACTTCAAACCCCATGCTACTACCTCTTCGAAGATTTGGGTACAAGCCCTTTAGTGGCGTCTTTGTGGCTGCACATCTAATCATCAGATATTCTAAACCCTTGGGGTAGCTTCGATTGGGGATGGTGGCTTGACTATCTTTAACTCTGGGCCAAGCAGAACTCGAGCACCCATTGCTCTAAGAATGGCATGCTTGAAATGCAACTGCCGCACCCATACTCTCCGCCACGCCCTTTGCACCATCGCTCTTCAGCACCAGTTCATAGCCACAAAGTGCTGTCATGTTTGCCATTGGTCTGGCAAGCAAACAGCCAGGGTAACTAAACACGACCAAACAACCAAACACACAATAT